AAAAATTAAAACTTAATTTACCTAACCTGTGCGGCCTGGAGCCAGGTTAGGTAAATTAGTTATGATTTTTTTAATTTTTCTTATTTATGTAAAAAAAAATTTCAAAGCAACATGCGATGGCTTCAGACCGCCCAGGTTAGGTAAATTAGTTTGGGTTTTTTTATGTTTAATTAGAATACTGGAATATAGCTAAAAATTCGACAGTATTCCAGGCAGAAATAGCAGCTAACAGCAATACATCACTGTACAAAGAGGTATTAAGACATAAGGTAAATAATTGAAAAACCATTGTCGTATACTCAGATAGTCAAGCGGCGTTAAAAACACTCAGTTCTATTCAGATACACTCAAAGCTTGTGTGAGACTGTTTGGAAGCCCAAACGGAGCTAGGTAGTCAAAACAGACTAACCTTAGCCTGGGTATCTGGCCACAGAGGACATAATGGCAGCAAAGAGGCTTATTTACTAGCCCGAGAAGGAGCTTAAAAGGCTCCTATTGGCCCAGAACCCCTGTGTGGTGTTACAAAGATAGCTACCAGAACATGCACGAAGCAGTAGATATTTAAAAAATCTCAGGAATAGTGAAAAAATTGACCAGAACAGAGACAGACCAAAGAGTTTCTAAAAAAACATCGCCTAAATTGATCAATCAACTACTAAGCCGTAATAATACTACTAGAGTAATAGTAGGTCTATTAACCATAGTAGGCTTAATAAACATATGTATATTATTTGTCTTACAGAAGAGACCTTATGTAGGGAGAGAAGGAAACTACAGTACACGTATTGTGCTACTGCGAGAGTCTATCAAGCTGAGATTCCTTACCTTTGGAGAAGAATACCAATGGCAACTAACTACGTCGTAGAACTACTTTGTTGTCTATGGAGTTTACTACAAGGTACTCTAAACAACGAATAAAGGATATACATAAAAAAATTTAGAAGGTCGATAATCCTAATCTAAAGCAAACAACATATTTAAAACAAGCACGGTAATTTAATTAAGGATATTAACGCTTACCTATGATAGAGAGTTCGCTACACAAAACTTTTACTTTGCAAAAAATAAGTGGCTTCGGGACATACAGTACCGAAAGCACTGACAAAGCGGTCTTGTGGCTAGAGTTTCGGGCCCAGCCCTCGCTAGACTCTCCTTGTTTCATAATTTTATTTAACTATTCAAATCGAAATCTACGTGACAGTTTAATTATTGTTTTTAAGAATATTAACTTAATATCCTTGCAAACATTTATAGTCCTATGTAAGCCAATTGATTGGAGTAATAATTTAGTTGTTTAGTTACTTTTTAATTCAATATTTAGTAAAATCAACTCTTACTTTTAGAATTTTTGTGCATTCTTTAGATGGTAACTAATAATATTGCCAATTATTACATTAGTGGTAGTTGACAGCTGCAAGATACATAACGGATATTCTTGAACCTTATTTTGTACTAGTTGTAGCATACGGTCCATTTGTTGGCGACAATTTTGTTTTTATGCAAGATAATGAACACAGTTTTAATTATTCGTCGGTATCTTACAGAAGTTGGTATCCTCCACATGGGATTAGCCACCTCGAAGTCCCGATTTAAATTCAATATAGTATGTCTAGTAATTTATCACAAGTACAAAATCGAGAAGTTTGTCCCACACTTTACCAACCATTTGCGAAAGTGAGATCGAGACAGACGACAGGCAGCAAACTATGCCGTGTTGTCATTTCTCTTGCATCGGTCGCGCTGCTTCAAATGTGCTTCATTTAATTACATGGGATTAAGACGTAAGCGACACATTTCAGTCTCCTTACGCGGTCGCTTCACGCCTGTCACGGTCTCGCATTACCAAATGGTACCTTAAAGGTATCTTGCGTCTGAAAAGAAACACATTTGGGACAGCGCGACCGATACAAGAGAGACGACAACACTGTTGCCTTGTTGCTTGTCGTCTAACTCGGTCTCGCATTCCCAAATGGTACCGTTTTAATCAACTTCAAAATGATCTAACCGAGGAGTGGAACAATTTGCCGAAAAATTTCTTGCAAAGCCACGTCGATGTCAGGTAGTACTTAGAGCACGAGGTGGTAATGTAAGGTATTCATTTTGTTTTTATTTATCGATAACAGTTATATTGCAAATAGTTCTTAATTTGTGACACTCTAAACTGTAAAAAAATATTGCAAAAGTTTTACGTTTTGTAGGAAACTTGAAGTGATGCGCTAATTTTTGAGTTTGTGATTTAAAAGTATTGTAGGTGTATACTAAATATGGGAGGGAACCTCCAAAAAAAAAACACTAATAATTCTTTTTCTGAGGGGGTGATAAAACGAGTTTATTTAATTGTTTATATCTGTCATTATTAAGTTGTATATCTCATATGTCAAAAACTGCTAATAGCTAGTTGATATATAACTTTTACACAGGGCCGCGCTGCCCCTGTGTGCGAAGTGTGCGGCGCACACAGGCGCCAAGACAATAGGGGCGCCGCTATCGAAATTATTTTTGTTACATTTACACAACATATTTCTTTGTAATGGAGTATCGATAAGTAAGTGGGTATAATAGGCGCAACAAATGCCTCGTGAACAACAAAACATAATATTGCGCTTATTTTACAAGTGTCCCAAGATAATATTCACGTTTGTACTGGATTGTACTCCTGACATTTCACACGTAGAGCAAATTAAAATAGTATTATAATAAGATTTGTCAATTTTAACACAGAAACTAGAAAATTGGAAATAAGGAAGCATTTCCTAGCCTACTGTTCAATTATCAATACAACTGGCGCTTGATCAACGTCATTCATAATAGAAAAACTAGACAAAACTTATTTGGACATAAACAACTTAAGGGGACAGGGCTATGCTAATGGATCAAATATGTGCGGTAAGAATAAGGCTAAAGACACACACGGCTGTTTTCGCCGAGTCGGCAAGAATTATATAAATATTTTTCGTCCTCTACCAAAAGATGGGACTTATTAAAAAAATATGTCATAAATCTGACCTTAAAACCATTGTCTGAAACAAGATGGTCAAGCAGAATAGATGCTATCAAACCGCTGTTTACAAATTTACCAGAAATTTATGATGCATTATATGAAATATCAAATGGTGTATCATACGATCAGAAGGCAAAATATGACACTGAATGTCTAGCAGAAAAAATATACTCCTTTTCATTCATTTGTTCACTAAATGTATGGCATATAATATTGACAAAAGTAAATTTTGTGAGCAAAATTCTGCAGTCCATCGATATGAATATGCAAGTTGCTTTAGATGCTTTAACCGAATTAAAGAAGTTTTTGATAAAAATTAGAACCGACACAAATTTTGAAGAAATTGTAAATGATCCCATGAAGATTGCCGAAAAATTAGATGTCGAGGGTGAATTTGAAACTTCCAGATCCAGACCCCTAAGACGTCGTAAGACTCCAAAGAGTTTTGATTATGAATACACGAAAACCACACTATAAATGATCCGAAAATCGCTTTTAAAATTAATGTATTTTTTAATATATTGGATCAAACTTTATCCTTCGTAGACAAAAGATTTAATTTATTGAATAATCACAATGACGTGTTTAATTTTTTATTTGAACCAAGAGATGACCAAGAACAAAGTCAATTAAGAATAAGCTGTCATAGTTTGCAGGAAAAACTTACAGCAAATGATTTACTGGGCATTAACGCCTATGATTTGTGTGAAGAAATTATGTCATGTCAGTCTCTTTTTAAAAAATTAAATAATGATGTAGCGAAAATTCTCGAATTTATATATTTAAACAATTTGACAGCTGTATGCCCTAACATCACAATAGCATGACGAATTTTGCTAATTATGCCAGTTACCGTAGCAAGCGCAGAAAGGTCCTTTTCTAAATTAAAACTAATAAAAAATTACCTGCGCTCAATAATGAGCCAGGAAAGATTAACAAATTTAGCGACAATATCCACAGAGAAGACCATATTAGACCATATAGACATACACAAAACCGTGAAAAAAAGAGGTGCTTCATAGGTTTCGCACACAGGCGCTGTGGGGGGTCGGCGCGGCCCTGCTTTTACAACACTTTATTAGTAAAGTCAAAATAAAGGTAATGTAAAAAAAGTACGCATTTAAAACCGATGTTAAAATATCAATACAAGTAAAATGCAGGTAAATAGCATTTTTTTGAATTGATGATAAAAATTTGTATATTTCCATCAAGTAAAAATTAAAATGTGTGACTTATCGTGTAACTAATAATAATTTACCGGTTATAATGAAAATTTTATTTGATATTAGTAAAGCAGTATTTTTGGAAAGTAATCAAAACTTTGCAAAAAAGTGCAAGATTTTTAAAAATTGTCCAAATTGCAATTTCAACACTCTATATTATAAAACTTGTCATATACGCAGACAATTTTGTTCAGAATGTCAAATATTACAACATATGAAGCATTTAGAAAATTTAAGTGAGTACCATTCCAGCAACTTCAAGTTAACAAAAAAACAATAAGCGAAGTATTAAAACAGCAACCAATTATTGGGAATACCACGATCATTAGGATTCGGATTTCTTATCTATTAAGTAAAATTAAGCATTTATGCCTTTAAGGTTAGGTTTACAATTGCATCTTTGTCCCCCTAGAAAAAATTCTGATGGCCCCTATAAATAAATAAGTAAATTGTTAATTTGTGATTAAAAATTCATTGTATTTCATTTGGTGTATTTATTATTTCTTAGAGCATAAAGAAATCGTAGATATTGAGGATTTGCGGTCTTTTAGTTAAAATTCGTTAATGAATAACGAAACTGTTTTTTTTTGACACGTGTTGTATATCAAAATAGAGTACCTATTAATTACTAAGAAACAACTATTGCTGTATTTTTTTGACCTTTGTCACATTTTAAACTTATCATCCTTTTATCAAAACTATATTAAAAAGTTAATCCTTTTTTGTATAATAAATAATATAAAAGCATTAGAGGGAAATCATTCGATATCAGTATAATGTTGATTCTTAACGTACTAGTTTTGGTCCTACTTGGAGTTGCTTTTTGTAGCGCTTACGAAGATAGATCAATTTTGGTGGAAACCTCGAATGGGGTCGTTCAAGGATCTTATGGACAGAGAAGTACTGGTAACCGAAAACTTCTGTACTGGTTCAGAGGGATACCATTTGCTGAACCACCTGTCGGTGATTTAAGGTTTGAAGTAAGTTTTTTATTTTAATTAATTTTTGTTTTTAAAGCATTAGTATTTATCTTTTAATAGTAAATAATAATAAAATTCGTTTTGTTAGGCTCCTGTGGCGAAGAAGAATTGGACAGGCATATTGGATGCAAGAAAGAAACAACCTGAATGTATTCAAGGGGCAAATCCTCCAGTAGGAAGCGAAGATTGTTTATATCTTAAAGTTTACACAGATAAGGTAGGATATATACAGAGGTATAATATTTTGACAGTTTGGTAAACGCAAAAGTTTTAAATAATTGTTCCATCCTTACGAACATTTTTATATCTTCGAACAATAATATATGCAATTGATTGGGACGGTATCGAATGAAATGCTTGGCGTACTTTTTCTTAAAAATAAGTGGTTAATGGAGTTTGATAGATCTTTCCTTTTTTAAAGCCTTTAATAAGAAAATCGAGAGGTGTGAGGTCAGGAAATCTTGCTGGCCAACGAAAAGGAGCCCAATTGGCTAATCGTTAATATAAAAAATTATAATTTAAAAAATAATTTAAAAAATTGACAAACAGGATTATTCCGGGTATCTTACAGTAAAAGTATCACGAGTTTTTTTGCGCAAATTTATTACATTCACGATAATTTATTATTAAATTTAGGTACTCTTCTTTAGCGTACCCATATGCAATCTCTACATAAAAAATTAAAATTGGTAATAATTTAAATGCGATTAGAATTGATTAGAAAATGTATTATACTGAAAATTGTTATTTAAAATTCGTTTCAATTAAACAAACACTAATTCCACTTATTTGAATATATAGTGAAATATAAAAAAATAATTTAAATTTAAAAAATTGAAGATAGGTACCTATTAATGTTTTGTCAAATCAAAATTTTTTCTCGCTCTGTATAATAAAAGATCTTTTAAGGTTATGTAAAAGTTAACTTCTACCTTTTTCATTAAAATTCAATTTGAACTTTCAAATTTTAAGTAACTTTAACTAAAAATAAAAATAATTTTAATACCCGTAATGGCAATATTTTTTCATAAATTACCAATTTCTGCTATACACTTTAATGTATAGAGTGACAATAGTGGCACAACTCAAAATTGCAAATTATGGAGAAAACTGCATTTAAAGGGGGGGTGGGTTGGCTCAGTGGCTAGAGTCATGACTTTGAGATCGGAAGGTCTCAGGATCGAATCCCACCGTTGGCCGGGATGTTTTCATTTAATTTAATTATTTAAAATTAATTCTGATGCCTTGGTAGGATTCCCCACTCGACCCTTCACTGTTGGGTTCTAATTAACAGTGCTGTTCCTAAAGTGGCGCTGGGAAACAGTAACAAAGCCTACACAGAACACGAGGCTAATGGCCGTAGTAGTCGACGCCGAGACATCAAATTAAAAAAAAAAAAAACTGCATTTAAAGTTTCAGTTATTTCAATTTTTCATGTTCTAAAGTCATTTAAATATCATTAATGAACTATGATTATTGATGTGTTTTTATGTGCTAAATAATCGGGGACTGTTAAGTTACTTTTTTGTTTTCAAAAAAGGTGAGATTTGTTAGATGTGCCACTATTCTTGAAACCAAGTGACACGGTTTTGATGAAAATTTCTAAAAAGTCCAATGAAAACTGTTGAGTTACTTTTAAATAAAAAGAAAATATATTTTCACACAGACTTATTTAACGTCTAATCATTTTTTTACTCAAAATTTAAACTGTTATAAAAATAACTGTGATAATTTTTAATAGCGTTGATTCTTAACAAAAACATGAGGTCATCATATTTTTTCTTAGCAATAAGTATAGAACTATCGTAAGCCGTCTTTTAAAAAATGCGTGGTTTTTAGTTCTGCCTACGACATTATGTGGGTATCTGTATGCAGGGTTAACTTCTTGTAAAAGCGATGAAATATAGGTGCGTTGTTTTACAATATCACCCATGTCCCAGTAGTTTTTATATTGGGCCAACCTTTCTTCTTCTGTAAATTTGGTACTGCATTTTTGTTTTTTTAAAGGAGAATTTACTTTTGCAATTATTTTTTAACTAATTATTTTTTAATTTTTAGTGAAATGAAAAACATGTACGTGTAGCTAAAATATGTTCCTCTGGAGCCACTTTTTCAAAATTTAATCAAATTTTGATGGCAATAAATCGCAAAATTATATTTTTATAAAGATTTCAAAAATTGAGAAAATAATTAAATTAAATTTCGGAATAGTGGCTCCAGAAAAACGAACATTTCACTTTTACCTGAAGGTACAAATTTTTCATTCACTAAAAAGTAAAATTAAACTATAGAAATATTTATGGCTCTATTTCGTATTGTTTAGAAAAAGATAATTGCTTAAGTAAATTTTTCTCTTAATTATAATTAAAATTTTCCTTTTTTATTAGCTGTTTGTAACAATTATGAAATGCCCAATAAAAAAGTAAAATTCTATGACAATTATAAAGGATAAAATAAATATCATACAAAGTTTTATATAATTATATTTACTAAAAATTCCCAATAAAAATAAATAAAAAATATATCGAAGAGATGGCAATACAAAAAATTATTTTTCATGCACTTCACCCCCATACAAGCGAGCTTATGCGAAGCAAGAATGTCTATTATTATTATTATTTACTATGGCACTCCCGGACGTCTTATAAATGATTCTTTAAGAAAGTTACTCTAATATCACAATCATTACATTTCTATTTCGGTACGTTAACAATCTTTGGCTAACAAAAATCAGAAATTGCACAACAAATAATTAATTTACTTGATATTAAAACTAATGCCTAAGTAAATAAATTTTTAAAATAAACAAAAAACAAAACAACAAATTCTTCTTGAATCTTAGGAAATAAGACAAAAGCAACCATCCATATAAACTGAAACAGAAAAAAATTAAATGCAGTAACTTCAAATCATTTTGTTTGTCTTTTAGACATTGCAGCAGCCCTCATACTATCATTATAATACTTTCTTATTGTTAATAGTAGACAAGTTTTAACTAAATGAGAAAAAACGTTTGTTTTATGTTCTTTATATGTAAACCAGAGACGGCTCGTGGCCTAGTTTGCGAGGAGGCTGGCTCACCCTATATACTTTACACAAATATATATTTCTATTAGAATACAATGTAATATTTCTGCTTTTTGTATTCTTATAGACATATATTTTTATTAAGTATATAGGGTGTGTCTTTTAAAAGTAGTCTCCTCATAGACTAGGCCATGAGTCGCCTCTGATGTAAACCATTTAAAATCAACATGGTCTGGCAAAAAAGGTTAATTTTTTGAATTATGTTGTCAATATGACCCAAAAGTGATAAAACTATTTCATGAATTTTTGAAAGAAATTCAATAACATTTCTTTGTACACAAATAAAACGTCTTTTATCATCATTTTCTTTAAAATAAGTAAAAGTATCGATGGTCTTCTAACATGTCTGTAAATTAACTTTACACTCTTTGCAGTCAAAACTATTAAGTTTCTTAATAAACTTGTTCGATTTGTGTTGGTAAACGATTTTGTATCAAAATATGATTTTCACATAATATACAGGGTGTTAAAAAAAAGTGTCACAAAATAAAACGGGGGGTAGTATGGGCCAAAATATGCAGAAAAGTCTTAATAAACGTATGTCCGCAAATGAATGGTTTTAGAGATACGGAGTGTTTTGTGTTTTGTATCATTTTTTGATTCTTTTTTCATTCTCAAAAACTTGCTTTTCTTATCGGAGTCTACCGATGTTTTTTCATAGATACTATTTGCAGTTATTATTTTGTTGTGGGTGAATAATTTTATAAATTTTCGTTATGCCTGTTTACACTAATATTGAATTAGCTGACATGCAATTTATGTACGGTCGTGGAAATGGCAATGCGAGGGAAGCGCTACGTCAGTATATCGACGCTTTCCCTAATCGCCACATCCCTTCATTTAACTCTATGTTGTTATTGATTGTTTATAAATATCATTGTTTTTTTATAATAATAAAAAATTGTTATAAACACAAAATGGTCCGTATCTCCGAAACCGTTAATTTGCGGTCTTTTCTGCTTATTTTGGGTCATACTATTCACCATTTCATTTTATGACACTTTTTTTTAACACCCTGTATAATGATTGGTTGTAAGTGGAATAAGTGGAATGTTTAAAATACGACACCATTCCTTTCTTTGATCAATATCAGAAGGAAATTTAAAAATGTTTGTTCTTAAAATTTACGTTTGAAATGGGCCTTATAAAATGTACTATAACAATTAGAAATTATGCGTTTATAATGAATTCTGCCTGGTAAAGACCATGTTAAAGCATCAAAATACCTTTACTTGATTTTGAATAATCCTAAATAACTTATATCTAAAAAAACAAATAAAAGTAGTTCCACTCACATGTTTTCGTCGACAACCAAAACCATAACATAACCACACATTTGTTTGATTTTGATGTTATTTGTTGACAGCGCGCGCGGGGTCCGCTATAGCGGGCAGCCAACAGTCATGCAGCGGATAGAAAGCCATCTTCACATAGTACAAATAACTAAGTGAAGGCATGTTTTTTTTAGTTTGTTGTAATATATGAATTAAAATTTTTGAAACAACACTTTTTGTGTGTTACTGAACGAGATGTTATTAAATTATTCTATGTGCTTTAAATTTTAACACAATTTTGCTATTGTAAAACGGACTTCAGAGCACCCAAGCGCGGAGTTGTATGCGCAGAGACATGTTTACGTATTGTGCATATGATATAAACCCCCGTGGTACTGGCTACTCGCGAATCGATTTAAAGAACATTAAGAAATATTTGACAAAGTAGATTTGAGGAGTCAATGTAATTATTAATTATTTTATATATAAAACATATATCTGCTATTTCACGGTGCTTTCTTAAAGATATGAAATTGAATTCCTGTAACAATAATTCATAATTGCAACCTCTTTCAGGATATATACCATATTTTTTTAGGTAAGCAAATTTTAAAAATCTTTTTTGAACTTTCTCAAGTAGTTGTACGTATTTTTTCTGATAGGGGTTCCAGATAATCGAGTTTTCATTGCATTGAAGGAATGTCTTTACAGTTCCTAATCAGTAAAGCTAAGGTTTTTAAAGCTTTCCCTAACAGTGTTTCAATATGTATTGTGAAAGTTAGCTTCTAATACAATATAACGTCTAGATCCTTCGATTCGCTGACTCGTTTCAATATAGTTCCATTGAGAACGTAATCATTAACAATTGGTTTTTGTTTTCGTGTAAAAGTCATCACTTTGAACTTTTCTGGATTAAGATAAAGCTTAATAATCTGAGATCACTTAAAGAGAAAATTTATATCATTTTGCAGATACATAGTGTACATTGGACCATTTATTTCTATATATATATATATATATATATATATATATATATATATATATATATATATATATATATATATATATATATATATATATATATATATATATTTTAATGTCGTCTGCAAATAAAAGTTTTTCACACTGTACTACCTTACATATGGAGTAATCCACAAAAATGGTTCTTAAGTAGGCCTTGGAAAATTTCAAATGTCAGTTTGGATTTGATTCGGAGCCGTGCGTAGTTATCGTGGACATGCTTAAAACCTTTTTTTTATGTCATAGTTATGACTGAACGCCTAAAGACCTAAAAAAGACGTTTTAAAGACGTCTTTGTAAAGACGTCTTTTAGGACACATAAATAGACGTCTTTTAAATGCCTATCTATTTAAAAAATATAAAAAAGAATGATAACATTAAAAAAAGTATTGGCTTACTTGTCGTTTCTAATTTCACGAAATATGAATTTATTTTTAAATTTTTTTTAATAATTTACATAATTTATTTTTTTTTATTTATTTATTCACGAGCATTTGTTCATTATAGTAAGTAAATATTTGTTAACATAAAAATAATAATAATAATAATAATAATAAATATAACCCTAAATAAAATTAACAATTAAAACATATTAGGACAAATTGAATTACGCGCTCTTTCAACTTGACCGGAACTTGGTTCAACGATCGAAGCGAATGTTTTTATTATGCTTTGTCTTTTTTCAACAGTAGAATTTAAACAAGGACGTGTATCTGACTGTGAGTATTATTAAAGTTCCGTGGTTCGTAGCGTTCTGCGTTGTCCTTTCGTTGTCATTTTTCGTTGTCATTTTTCGTTGTCATTTTTCGTTGTCATTTTTCGTTGTCATATTTCGTTGTCATTTATGTTGAAGATGAAAGCCGAGAGGTTAGTTTTTGTTCGTTATTCGTTGATTTTTTATTTGTGTCTTGTGCCGTGAATTACTGTGATTTTATAAGCATAAAAGTTTACTGCATATTCTGAAAAACCAATTAGAAGAACCCTTATTAGTGTTTTAAGTACGTCTAGGCGTCTAGAGCTGACTTAGAAGCTTCATCGGATGTAAATATATCTGAATTAGAGTTGAAAGTAGAGGAAGATTGCCATTCTTTGACCACCCTTAACCCACACTATCTACTGAAAATCCTATTAAAACGAATTTGACAGAGTGAGCTATAATGCATAATATTTTACACAGCGCAGTTAAAATTATTGCAACCCAGACTGGATTAGAAGAGCATCAGACAGAAGATTAACCACTAATGGAGGAAGAATACAAAATTTTGTAATATTACTTTTTTAACGAAATGTTTCATTATTTTGTTAATAATAATGTTTATAGAAAATATGTGTTTTATTTTGTATAGAAGGAATTTACAGAAGCTTTTAAAAGTAAATCCGAGAGTACGTCTTACCAATGTCGAAAAACAGACATATTCAAGATGTCTTAAGAACGTTACCTTTTGTAACATCAGACGTCTTAAAGATGTCTTTAAGACGTCAGGCCGACGTCATAAGACGTCTTTTAGACGTCTGTCATGTCTCTGACAGACATCTTATGGACGTCTTAAAGATGTCTTTGTGCTGTCTGGGTTTATATGTCATTGGTTTGTATAGGTACCTAAGTATCGATAGAAAATAAGTTGTTGCAGCAATCCCAAAAAGGTTGTACCAAATTTGTATTTTTAAAAGTACCTACCTAGAAGAACAACTTTGAAATATATAATGACATTTTTGTTAAAAAGTAAAAGATAAGCCAATCAAATTAAAATAATTAATAAATTCAACTGTATTTCTTGTGATTTATTTAAATTTTGTTATTTTTTTTTATAGAAACCACATCCAAAAAACAACCTCCCAGTTTTAGTTTGGATCTATGGAGGTGCTTTCTTCGGAGGATCTGTTGATTTTGACGATCACAGCCCTGACTACCTTCTCGATCAAGATGTTATCATTGTCGCTATTCACTACAGAGTTGGTTTACTGGGATTCTTATCGTTGGGAGACACTGTTGCTCCAGGAAACAATGGAATTAGGGATCAAATTATGGCTTTGAAGTGGATTAAAAATAACATCAAAAACTTTGGTGGTGATCCAGATAATATTACCGTTTTTGGCCAAAGTGCAGGTGCTGCTTCTATTGCTTATTTGTTGCAAATTGAGGAAACTAAAGGTATTTTTTTTTCTTTAAATGTATATGTTATATATGGACAATGAAGTTGCTAAATTATCATTATTTATCATTTTAAGGACTCTTCAGTAAAGCTATTCTCAACTCTGGATCATCCCTTAGCACCTGGGCATTGGCAAAGCGGGTATCGGAAGTTACCAAAGTAATTGCTAAAGAACTAAAAATTAGTACTAAAAGTTCTGAACAAATATTAACTGGATTGAAAAAAATTAATATTGAAGATTTACAGAATGTAGCAAATTCAAAAATGGTATCAGTAAGTAAAAACACTGTAATTTTTTTCGTTGATTTAATTAAATTAATTCTACATTATCTAAATACCTAACTACTGATTATTTTATTAGGAATTAATATCAAATAATCCACTCCAAGGTGTTGCTTTTGCACCTGTTGCAGAACCAGATCACGAAAATGCTATTATTACTGGACGATCTCATGAGAGGTTAATAAATGGAGAGTTCCACCATGTTCCTATACTGATGGGATATAATTCCTTGGAAGCATCTTTTAACAGTCTATCCGGTAACAAAAATGAATATCGTACTATTATAAAAAAATATTTTCTAGTTTTTTTTTTTAATTAATAATCTTTTAATTTTTAGCACTAATCAGACTTTGGCTTATCAAATTTGATATTAATGCCTCTCTATTAGTTCCTGAAGACATGCGTGTTAGTGGTGCATTTAGAAGACGCTCTTTAGGAAATAAAATTAAGAAAGAGTATTTTGGTTCTTCTTCCATTGCATCTTCTACCGAGAAAACAATGAGAGTAAGTTAATTCTATATTATATTCAATATACACATCAGTGCCATCACCAAAAAATATTGTTTTTTTGAAATGCTACCACAAGGCAATCTAAAGAACTGTAGTGTGTTAAGATTCCCACAATGACGGCAGAAGAACGGTTTTATAATAAGGGATGTGATTGATTAGACAGAGGTAGAACAGAACGCGCTAGCCCACTAGCGGTAGGGGTGTATCCTCTGTCCAAGCACGGCAGGCATTCAGCCGATTCACGAGTCTCTCTTTATATTGGTCACCTTGGTTAATATATTGTTACGCTGGTTTTTGGTATCACAATTTATTTTAATTCAACTTTACAATAACTCAATTCAACTTTAACAATAACGTTACAACTGATAACATTACATGTAACGTCTATCATAAAACTGAACTCTTCTAGAACCTCCTCAAACAATCTGGACTTTTCTTTGACAAGGAATGACATTTCTAAACATTTCGGGAATATTCTATCTTTTTCATTTACTCATACCTTTACTTATGACGACCGCAGCACGCTACAGGGTGCTGCGTAACAATATTGTTTAGAGTTTTGAAAGTACAGTTTTATGATTTTTGCATCTAACATGATTTGATAAAAACCATTATTTGCTTCTAAAGTACTGAAAATATTTTCACTTGAGAGTTTGTTGGTGAAATCTTTATAATATGATATTATTGTAATTAGGTATGTCCGAATTTTTCAAAAGAAATTTTTTGCCATTGCTCTCGTTTTTACTATACGGAGAATGGTCGCACTACGCAGCTTTCTGAGTGCCTTTTAAAAGGAAATAGAAAACTCCGCCATTTTGAACCCTTATTACGTGTTGCCTACATCTTGGCGCAATATTTTTAATAGGTGCGTTTTAATCATCCGCTTCTGCTTCAGAATTGTCGGTTTTCTTGTTTTAATCTGACAGGTTAAAACGAGTAAACCGACAATTCCGGAAGCAGAAGCGGATGATTAAAACGCACCTGATATTTTGCTTGCTGCTTTCAGTGTCAGTGAATATTATTTTTGGAGTCACAGTTTATTGCTAAAGAATCAGTTAGCTCACTCGGACCAGTTGAAAGTTGCAAAATAACATTCACTCCAGGGATACAAATCCAGGATACGCAGAAGACTGCTGTTTTATTGTAGGCGGTTGTCATATATTGTATTATCCGAGTTGCGCAGTGTATAAACTGGAACATAGACCTCAAAAGTGCCGACGCAGAGTGAGCGATTTGATTCTTTAGCTATAAACTGTGTCATAGGGTTCAAAATAACCGCGCCCTATGTTGGGCGTGTCGGACCTCTCTCTTGCCCCGTATAGTAATCAAAGTATGTGTAAAAGGCACTCAGAAAGCTGCGCAGTGCGACCATTCTCCGTATAGTAAAAGAAAATCAAAGTATGTGACTGGTAGCCATTTGGACAGGTCGTTGGAATGCCTAATTCCCCCTTTTTTTTACTCGAACCTTTACTTATGACGGCCGCAGCACGATACAGGGTGCTGCGTAACACTATTAATAAAAAGAATAAATTAAATTCTTTTATTATTTGTAATTTTTCCATTTCTACATTGTCAAACTCAACTTCCCATACACAAAAAAAATGTATATTCTCTACTAAGTTGACTAAATTTATTTGTTTTTTTGTATTTTCTCATTGTCAGTTATTACATTTTTTGCAGACATTAAGAGTTTATTTTTAGTTTTAAAAAAGTTACATAACTGACCATATGCCGAACAAGTATTTAGAGGGTGTGACATTAATTTTGTATAGATTTGGTTTATTAACTAGGTCAACATGGGTTTTCTTCATAACAAAACAAATTTCTTTGACATTTTTCATTGTTGCTGGGTCCTGTTTCAACACTTTTTGTCTGATGTTGAATTTTGAGATCATACAATAATTAGTGCAGGGCATACCTAGTGGCGCATTCGTTTGCAAAATTGTTTTAAATCGTGATTTTTTTTTAAATGTCCGGAAGGCTTTCCTGATTATAAAAGTGTAAGATGACACTCAATATTTGTTGATGTTATTGTTTAAACAACGAAAAATTAATTAAGCCAGAAAAATGCATTTTTTGCAATGAATCAATTTTTTTTATATTCTTTAGGATATTTCGAATAAAAAAAATTCTTTACGCCCATCATCGTATCTTTATTAACCCTTTAATTGTTATGAATTTTTTAAAATCCGAAATTGACGAAAATTCTAATTTACTTGAATTAAATAATATACCTTAAAATTTAAAATGCTATAATTTTAAATTTTTTACCGAATATTCAAACTATAATAAACAAAATAACCTAAATAAATTTTCAAAATTTTGTTTGTTATGTTTTTTACGTTATAACAATATGCTTCCTACGCGCGTGTACTTTAGAGAGAAGTACTTCTATCTCACTTCCAACTCAATGTATAAGATGGGTAAGAGAAAGCCCGATGACGCGCTGAATCAATTTTTTGCTGTTTTTCAGAGGTAATAAGTTTAAAAAAATTATTATTAACATTTTTTATAACACTTTGTTATATTTGCCGATTAATAGATTAATAAATTTTGTATCATGTGATTTTTTTTTACTTTTTTAGATACTTTTGATAACTTTTTTATTTATTAAAGTTAACAGAAACATTTATTTTTAACATTTATTTTTATTCATGAAAAAATTATTGTCAGATACTGCCTGAGAAGTAAAATCTTCTTCAACCTTTTTTTTTTCAATACGATAAAAAGGCCAAATGCACTTGTCGTGATCCGTGAAAAATTTCTACCTGTTACAATGAACATAGTAGGCTTACTGGGATCATAAAATTTTATGATTTCAAAAATATCCAAGCCTTTCCATTTAAAAAAAATAAGGAAAATTTTTTATAAATATTTATAAAAAGTAACTGAATTATAGTTTTTACTTACCAACCAACAGTGATCAATAGAACTTATTTTCCACAAAAGATATCGTATTTTACGTTTTTTCGTGGATGAGTTTACATGCGCGTTCAACCACTGAAAACCGAATGCCAGCTGAGAAATCCACCCCTCCACTACTTGAAGTCGCCACGTGCTATAAATGCGTTCCTCATGCTTGTCCTGGCACACGGACAAAACACCTTAACTGAAAATTGTTGATTTCAATTTTATAGGAATTATAGAAAATCGATGTCCACTGTAATGGAGGCGATGACTGAAAGGGTTAAATATTGGTTAAGAAAGTTTAAGAGTACTGGAAATTAAATTTGCGTTGTTTTTATAAACACACGAATACAAAAAGCACCTTGCGGCTTCCTAAATCGCTCCATTGCAACTAAAACTTCACTGTCGACCACCTTTTGCCAACTGCCTTCATTCTCGGGATTGTGCCTATTGCGCCAGCGAACGGATTAATAAACGAAAATATTTCTATACCCTATATATTTGACTTTTTTAAATTTGAATTACAATGTTTATAGAAAGTCAAAGAAAGTCTATAAAAAATGCAATATTAAAAATGTACAAATAATTAGGGAATAAACAATTTAAAAAATACAAAACATATTTTTGAAAACATTTTGTTCTTTCCTTGCAAATTATGCAAATTTCACTCAACAAAATCTCCTCCCGAAATACCACTCATCTGAAGTCTTATATTATTTAATTGGAGATTTAGACGCATAATTTCTGAAGAAAGAACAATTTTTTAAACAATTCTGGCCTCTTGTGGTACTGCTCTCGATAATTTTGAGTTATTTCTTCCAGTTCGTATCCGATACAGTTTTTGAAAGACCAACTCAAGAGGCTATGCGTCTATATTCACAAAAAACGAAAGTATACGCATACCACTTCTCTTATCAAGGACCATTGTGGGGTAGAGTCAACAGAACTGTTGACGGTAAGATATAAAAAAAATAACTTAGGTTTTAATTATAATGTGGTTTTTTATGCATTTAAGGTGTTGGACATACAGAAGATTTAGGTTACCTCTTCGATTTTGGTCACAAAGGATCACATGCAGATTACAAAACAAGAAACCGCATGGTAAAACTCTGGACAAACTTTGCAAAAACCGGTAACCCAACCCCTACGAAAGAAGCTTTACTTCAACACATAGTGTGGCCAGCAAATGTAGGTTCAGATCATTTAAAGTATCTTGAAATCGACACAGATTTAAGAGTTATTAGTCAACCAAATTCAAAGAAAATTGACTTCTGGAGGGATATTTACAAAGGTTATGGAAAACCACCATACTCTACATACTAAACTAACTTGTCATATTTAAATTATATAATATAATAAAAAATTACTAATATTTCTATTGTTTTTCGAGCTATTGCAATAAATATCTAAATTTCCTTCCTAATTTTATATTAAATTTATAATCCTATCGAGTCAATTGAACCGTAGTTTAAACAAAGTGTTACTGAAAGAATACATTTCCAAAATTGGTCAAGTAGTAGAAATAATTAAACAACAAGTATTATCAAAGAAATTTGGTAAAAAAGGATTAAAAAGTGATCAAAATTGAAGAGTATTAATGGAGGCTTAAAAATTAGCTAATGCTGGAATTAAGTTTATTATTGATTTATAGGAAGATAGCAGATTAAATGCAAGAAGTACTCCTTAGAAGGTAATGTCTGGTCTAACTAATAAATATTCCAATGGTGTAAAAGGAAAAAATTGACTACAGGCAGTATAACTTGGCCGTGTAGGTAATAGCAGAATAGTGAAAAGCCAGATACTAATCTTTACTATTCTGGCCTGACAATATATGAAAAAATTTAGTAATATTTGAACTTATTGAAAGGAACGGTATGGAAATTAAGACAATTGCAGAAAGTATTATTCACTGTTAGAGGTATCATTATTAATGCTAGGTATGACTTCATTATCATCATCTTCAGATAAATATAAGAAGCAATATAGGTATTTAAATAATTAAAGACACAAAGTTTTATCACTAACAAAAAAAATTTTTACTCGATAGGCACAAAAATCAACTTTTGGTAAAAATTCAAAAACTATACACTTTTATCAGTGTATAATGAATATATAGATATTATCACTAGCAAAATAATAAATATGTGTAAATAAATATGTATAAATATGTAAAAATATGTATAAATAAACACTGAACCTAGTACAAAATGCAGATACTATATAAAACTTGACGATACGATACACAGATTTATAGAAAAGGTTAAAATAATAAGTAAGAAAGTATTAGTTAAAATATAGAAGACATGCAGTTAGTATCGTTAATCTCTGTGAAATACCTACGTGAATTAGAACGATAAGTTATAAGGAATCTATTTCAAAGTAACGAGCTATTTAACCCAGTAGTTGAGGCGCCATTTTTGTAACCTGATACTTGTTATTTTATCTATTTGTTATAGTGTTTTAAGCTCAATTGATTTTGAAAGTGGGTCAGGTTATTAAATAACTCTTATTACCTTGAAAAAGAAGTTGGGCACCACTATATTTAAAACTTACTATACTTGACTATTGATTAATGACAAAAATATAGAAAATCACTAACCATTGAGATAATATATTTCAACAAAGTTATAGACAAGGCAGTAACAAATTCTAATTCACAGAGATTTACTAATTCAAATATAGATGGTTTATTGCATAAAACTTATCTGTTGTAACAGGAGGTAGAATATAAGGAGTGATTTCTAGGCCTTCTTCAAAGGGACTTGAACGATATTCTTCAGATAGCATCAAACTCTTAGGAATAAATCTTCATCAACTTCTTTATATAAAATTGATATAAACTTCTTAGATAAAACTTGAAATAGACTTCTACGCCCGTATGCACCGTACACGTTTAATCCAGATTAAGGGTTTAATCACGTAGTACCAGTTTTAGCTATGTACCGTAATAAAAATCATTCTTAATCCGATTTTATTCTAATCCGTCAATATCGGAGGATCAAATTAGGCATTCCAAACTGAATGGCTACCAGTGGGTTTTGACAGGTTATGACAGGTTATGGCAAAATTATGGCAACCCTGTAGGCCTGGTGATTTGACAAGGTCAATGAAATAGATAGTTATATAGATTGATCATCCATATTTTTCAAAATAAACATAAGCTTATGCCTTGATGTAAAAATGTAAGCAATTATTATTTTTTAATATCTAAAGGCTGAAAATTGGTTTTAAAACACATTTTTGCTAAACCGATTCAAATTAATAAATATTTGCCAAGCAATATGGCCGCACGCAAACGACCAGCTTTGAGCAATCTATATAACTATATATGTATCATTGACCCTATTAATGTCAACATGACAACAGGGTTGCCATATCTAAACTATCATTACCCACTGGTAGCCATTTGGACAAGTCGTTGGAATGCCTAATTGTTAATCGAGATTTTCTTGCGTCAAAAAGATGTCAACGTTTTGTCAGTATATTTGGAACTCTCTATTTGCGTTTCTTTTATTTATTTTATTTGAATTTTAATAAAAAACAGAAATAGAATACCAGCTTTTCTTGGAAGATGACAAATATTCTAGACAAAATTACGAGAGAAGTGAATATGTTTATACGATGGGCAACTTTGTCATTTTTGGGAGATTTTTTACATTCTAACGTTACATCATAATTCTGTAGTTAGATGGCAAACCCAGATATGTTGAAAAAGGTAAAAATAAGTAAGCAATACATATAATATTTATGTGATTTTGTTTACTTTTAAATACTGATATGTCATATCCATATAGTTTTGAACATGCACAGTGTAGGGAAAGTATTCATATAGGTATATCGTTTTGCATAGAAAAGCTTGAAATACAGCACTTTGTATGTATATATGTTAAAATTACCAAAAATGAACTTAATGGTTTTGCCATCCAACTATAGAATTTTTTTTTTTTATTAATTTGACATTCTTTTTCACTTTGCGTAAAATTCGGTATGCGTTTTACGGTGTGTTTACGATTTTGGTACATTTAAAAAATGGGGCTTCTATGTTCAACGGCCTCTTATCCTTTGACATACATTTCTCCTGCCCAAATCTGAAGTTTTCTTCTTCTGGTCTGTCTACAAACGACGTATACTTGTAGTTAACATCTGAGACCACATACTTTGATTACTATACGAGGCAAGAGAGAGGTCCGACACGCCCAACATAGGGCGCGGCCATTTTGAACCTTGTGACACAGTTTACAGCTAAAGAATCAGATCGCTCACTCTGCGTCGGCACTTTGGATCTCAATGTTTCAGTTTATACACTGTGCAACTCGGATAATACAATATATGACAACCGCCTATGTTATTTTGGAACTTTCAACTGGTCCGAGTGAGCTAACTGATTCTTTAGCAATAATCTGTGACTTCAAAAATAATATTCACTGACACTGACAGCAGCAAGCAAAATATCAGGTGCGTTTTATTCATCCGCTTCTGCTTCCGGAATTGTCGGTTTAGTCGTTTTAACCTGTCAGATTAAAACAAGAAAACCGACAATTCCGAATCAGAAGCGGATGATTAAAACGCACCTATTAAAAATATTGCGCCAAGATGTAGGCAACACGTAATAAGGGTTCAAAATGGCAGAGTTTTCTATCTCCTTTTAAAAGGCACTCAGAAAGTTGCGCAGTGTGACCATTCTCCGTATAGTAAAAGAAAATCAAAGTATGTGTCTGAGACGCATAGATGACGCCATCGTTGTTGCCCATGATACTACGAAAAGAAGGTATGATATTACACAGATTGATACATACGTCACGGTGACGTAATATGGTGGAAGGCGTGGCTTTCACGAATTTGACGTATTTGAAGAAAGGCTACAAATCCAGGAAACCTTTAAGCAAAAGGTTGGTCAGTTATATATTAAAGTAGATCTTTTAGAACAACAACAAAAACAACAACAACAACAACAACATTAACAACAACAACAACAACAACAACAACAACAACAACAACAACAAGCGCATTTAAAAACTAATTTAGAATAGCAGCACATAATTTAAAAACTAATTTAGAACAACGAGAGAATTTAAAAAAACAGGAAAAGGCTATAGTTAAGTTTGAAAGGCAAATTAGAACTGAACTAGGTGAGTTAGGAAGAAGAATTCGTAGCCTAGCTTCGATAAGCAAGACAAAAACTGAAAACACTACCTCGTCCTCATGTGTAATGAAACCAAGCCATATTCAAAACCCACTTTCACAAATCCATACTAGCAAGATCATTAAGCCACCCACGTTTTACGGTCAGACAACATAGCCTCCAATTTGAAGCTACAACTAGAACCAATGGCTGGGCTGAAAAAGAGATGGCGGCTGCATTGATAGTGTCGATGCGAGGACAGGTAGCAACCGTTTTACAGTTACTCCCTCAAGAAGAACCCAGTTATTCATTTCTCGTCCAAGCTTTGGAGACAAGATATGGCCAGCAGCATTTGAAATGGGTATTCCAAAGCCAGCTAAAGGTTCGCAGTCAGAAATATAATGAGAGTCAACAGGAATTCAAGGACGATATAAAACGATTGATTTATTTGGCTTATCCACAGGCCCCCAAAGATTTCTAAGAAGAAATCGGCATACAGGCATTCATTGATAGACTACAAGATGTGGAAATGCAGGAAGCCCTTTGTCTACAACATCACAAGACGCTGAAGGAGAAAATGATTGCAGTCCAAAAATATAAAGCAGTAAAACTCATATCCACATCTTGTCGCGCAAAAGTGAGAGAAATTAAATCCCAGGAAAGTGAGGAAGTCAATACTAATGCTATCTCCCAACCTACCTTCTCGCAAATTTTAAATATCCTGCAAAATACGCAACAAAACAGCGAAAATGGAAGCAGGAGATGCTTCAATTGTGGATGAATCGGGCACCTTCAAAGAACCTGTAGTAGCAGGGCTCGTTCTATAAATCGAGAATTAAGGAACGAGGCCGGAAAGTCACATAGATCAATCTTTCGAAGCCCCTCACGAAGTCCAACAAGAAATAGTCATAGAAAGATATACGTCCTGAAGAAGCCACACCGAGCCGGCTTTCTAGTAAAAATTAGGAAGCAGAGGCCGTCTCCATAGCAACGCAGACATTCTCTCCAGGGGACCCTGTTTAAGAGGACAAAGCTATTAAAGTAAAAGGCTAGAAAAACTAGAAGAACCGGTTGATAAAGTTACTCTTCGGGCAAACACTGTCAAGTGTGCCACAGGGTCACATTTTATTTTTTTTATTTTATTTATTCAAATAGGTACACTACAGAATTATTATTCTAAATGGTACAGAGTTAAAAAATA